ACTTTTGAGGATAGTTCAGGACCAGGTAATATCTCCTTTTGTTGTACATAAGGTTGCTATGAGTTGGAACTGACTCAAAGGTGCCAAAAAGTATTGAAAAGCAGAAAGGTTACTTTGAGGACTAAGATGCACCTGACTTAAGTCATGGTACTTCTAATCATCTCAGATGCATGTGAAGGTTGGACATTGAATCAGTAAGACCAAAGAAGAACCAATGCATTTGAATCCTGGTATTGGTGAAGAATATTGAAAATACTATGGACTTCTAAAAGAACAAGCAAATCTATCTTGGAAGAAGTACAGCCAGAACATTCCTTAGAAGCTAAGAGGGTACGACTTTAACGTATGTACTTTGGACAGGTTATCAGGCGAGATCAGTCCCTGGAAAGGGACATCATGTTTGGCGACAGCAAAAAAAGAGGAAGACCCTGAACAAGATGGACTGACACAATGGCTGCAACAATTGTGAGGACAGTGCAGGACCAGGCAGTGTTTTCTTCTGTTGTACATAAGGAGGCTGTGAGCTTGGATTGACTCAACGCACCTAGCAACAGCCACCACCTTTGTTCCTATATTTTTTCTTTGATGATCTTGATCATTCTAGCTTTCACATTTAAATCTTTGGAAAGGGGGAACGATAGCAAGGATGACTGTATAACCCCACTCGAAGGAACAAACCTCAGAATTTTAGATGATTGGATAAATGGGATGGTGGAAGTTACGGCAAAAAAATCAATCATAATAATAGTAATATATATTGAGGTATGAGAAGGGTGGTAGGGGAGGGGAGGAAGATAAAGGGGAGTTCATATCAAGGAGTTCAAGAAGAAAGACAATGTTTTGAAACTGATTGTGGTAGCAATTGTACAATATTGCTTGGTGTGATTGAACTATGGAATGTTATGATATCTATAAGCCTCTCAATAATATGATTTTTAAAAATTAAAAATTTTAAAAGTGATGATGCAGCAATTGTACAATTACACTTGATCTAATAGATCTATGTGTTGTTATAATATCTGTAAGAGCTCTCAATAAAATGTTAAAAAAAAGAAGAAGAAGAAGTAGAAGAAGAACTAGGGTGTGAACTGCAAGGAGAGCAATTCAAAACCACCGAATGCAGAGGTTTTCAATCCCTATAAAGAGTTACAGTCTGTGAGGGACAAGTCTGATCGAAGCACACAGGAGCAGATGAAAGGGGAGGAGGAGAGAGTGGAGCACATCCTG